TATCATTCAGGATACCTTGTCTGCTGGCCATTTTTGCTCATTCAAAGCACAGGTCTGTTATGCTGCGGTCTCTCCCAAAACTTAGCGTTCCTGAAGCTATGGAAAGCGCCGAGGGTAAATTTTGATGCGCGATTAACATGCGTTAAAAAAAATGTCAGCGTTATAGTCTAAAGCAGTTAACGCGTTAATAACGCTTTAAAACTGACAGCCCTAATATATATAAATATATATAACATACTGCTGGAGATAGGCACCAGCCCCCCTCGCGACCCCACTTGGGACAAGCGTGTAAAGAAAATGGATGGATGGATGGATATATATAACATTATTATTATTATTTTTTTTATTTTATTTTATTTTTTTTTTACCAGATTAGGGAAAGTGACTGTTGTTGGTGATTACACTGACATTTTTTTTTAAGGTTATTTTTTTGTCAATGATTTTGGTTTATAATAAGTATTTCACTGCCCTATAAAGTGTTAGAGTGGCTCAGAGTATCTTTGAGCCAAATTATATTTTCAATCTACAGAAACATGAAGAGTTTGATAATTAATTCAGATACCTTCACCAATTTCAAAAAAGAAATATTTAAATTAAAACATTTTTTTACAGAATAAAGGTTTCATTTCTCATTAAAGGCTGCATTTTATAAAAGACTGTTAACAAGCATAAATGTTGGCTTTGCTTCTAAACGTGGTTTTAAAGATGGATCATTTCCTCTAACGTCGTCTCATCCCTGCCATTCAGTGTCTGCGCACGTTGACGGGTCACACCGGTGGCGTGTGGTGCAGTCAGATGACCGGCGCCACTGTGATCAGCGGCTCCACTGACCGGACGCTTCGGGTGTGGGACGCCGAGAGCGGGGAGTGCGTGCATGCTTTGTACGGGCACACGTCCACCGTGCGTTGCATGCACCTACACGGCAACAGGTAAGTGACGCACATGCGGGAACATCTCGTCCCCATGACAACCACAGGGTCCCTAAAAGACTCGCTCTCACACACAGACACAGGACTGTGGAGCTGCTTCCTATCTCCATGGTAACCTGCTGATGCAGGTTTTTTCTTTTTGTCGTAGCATCATTTATCATGGTCCTGCATGCAGGAGGACACTTAAAGCAAGCAGAGCACAGCAAGAGGCGAATATATGAGCATAAAAACATGGAGTCATCAATTATTTATTATAACTCTGTGAAAATGAAGAAGAAAGCAGACACTGCACCAATAAACACAGAAACATTTACAGTTTGTATGTATTTAGATTTTACCTCATATCCACCTTAAAGAGCTTAGAAGCTTAAAAGCTTAGAAATGATTTTAAAGAGCCTCTATTTTCTGTTAAGAAACACAATCTTATTGGCTAAAGCTGCAGTGATGTCATGTCTCTTCTCTGACAGGATTGTGTCGGGCTCCCGGGACACGACGCTACGCATGTGGGACGTGTCGACGGGCCAATGCGAGCACGTGCTGACGGGCCACGTGGCGGCGGTGCGCTGCGTCCAGTACGACGGGCGCCGCGTGGTGTCAGGCGGCTACGACTACATGGTGAAGGTGTGGGACCCCGAAGCTGAGGTGTGCCTGCACACCCTCCAGGGACACACCAATAGAGTGTACTCTCTGCAGGTAAATATAAATACGCCCATTAAGGCCTATTGATCGCCTCACCATTTTGCCTTTAAAGCAACTACATCAGATTCCTCTTTCTATGCAGTTTGATGGCGTCTTTGTAGTGAGCGGCTCGTTGGACACGTCAATCAGAGTCTGGGATGTGGAGACCGGTAAATACACATATGCTCTACTCTGTATTCATGCTCAATTTAGTCAGGAGTTAAAATTCTTTTGGGCCGAACCACACATGCAGAATCATGAAAGAAGTGAAGAAAAACAAAACATCCGTTAGCAGAAGATGGTGGAAGGTTCATGCTGTAAGGCCTGTCCTTTACAGGGATGGGGGAATTTAAAGACCAATTTTCTTAGAAGCTGCAAAAGGTAAAGCAAGTTTATAAAAAAAAAATAATAATAATTGAACTTGATTGATCTCACACTGGTGAAATTTACCTCTGCATTTAACCCTCCTGTTGGGGAGCAGTGGGCTGCCATTGTGCGGCGCCCGGGGAGCAGTGTGGGGTTCTGCAGGCTCTGGGGATCAAACTGGGTACTTGCATCCTTCTCAGAGCACAGGTGCACTGCAATTCAGGACAAAGATACTTTGAAGTGCTTTACACGAATGAAAGAGTAAAATAGAAGGAAAATAAAAGCAAGTAAAGATAAAAAAACAATAAAAGCAGGTAGCAAAGCAAATAAAACAATTGGACCACAAACGTAAACCAAAGATACCTCAGATAACACTTCAACAGTCAACGGCAGCTCTAAATAAATATGTTTTTGTCAGGTCTAAGCACCTAAAACATCATACATACATACAGGGAAAGAAA